AAAGCGAGTTAAACATCAATTGTTAGACCACTGCAGTAAGAGGATGTTAGTAGATAAAGTATGACAGCGTGTTCATTCACGTTCATTAAGCCTGCTAATGAACATGTTTACGTGGAAGGAAGAAAGTATAGGCCCTTATAGGATATCCGGTCGACGCTCAAAGAGCTTATCCTGCAAGTAATAAATATAATTACAGTTTAAGGTGCAAAAATAGGGACTGACATAACTCAAATGTAAAGCAGTCCGATTTTTACATCTATTCATATAAACGAGAAAGTCTGTACGTGAGAGCTAAACGCAGTCCAAAATATTAAGTCAAGCTAAATGATTACGGATAAAATATAAGATAAAATAAAATAACGGTCCTTCAGCTATTATAAAAAATGTGTTATTTATGTTGACAAATAAAGGCCGCATGCATTGGAAGCTAACAGCAACTACGTACACTTTTACGGATACGCAAACGTGAACAGACAATTAAGTGCACAAGGATGAAATTTCTTAACAGGAAGGAATAACTGAACGGGGAATCCGAAAGGCTTATTCGTGGTCTTGCGGCAAAACGACCAAAGATTTCAAATTAAAAAAGTTGGCTCCTGTGACGGTGGAGTCGGGTAGAAGAGATGAGAAAGCCAACAGATTTTGTGAGAATGCGCGAGTCCAGCGAGTAAACTGTTGGCATGGCCAAGAAATCGAGGATTTCGCTGGTTCGTTGTATCTTAAGGAAACCACTGTGTCCCCAGAAGTATAAAAAGACTGATGGTACGTTTATAACTCTATCTAAAGCACCTTATTTGCATGCGTGTACTTCAAAGTAGGTCCGGTTTCTACAAATTCGCGCCCTAAAAAATATACTACCTTACTTATACATAGATAAGCGTCACCACCTACCTCTGAAACATATCCTCTTTACATTTCTTCGCGTAATTAAAACCTTATAACACAACACAAAAACTGATGTTTCTTTGATCGTGTCAATACACAAACTGAAAAACTAAGATTCTCACAAAGCATTGCGTTATGGTTTGTCGTGTCTAAGATTAT